TGTCTGCTTGTTGATGTTCTTTTTAGATGATCTGCCCATTGATATAAGTGGGGTGTTAAAGTCCCTTACTATTATTGTATTATTATTATTGATTAGTTCTTTTGTGTTTCCTATTGTTTTATGTATTTGGGTGCTCCAATGTCTGGTGCATATTTCTGACTGTTGTATCTTCCTGTTGGGACTGTCCCCATTATTATGACATAGTGCCCTTCTTTTGTCCCTTGTTACAGTCTTTGTTTTAAAGTCTACTTTGTCAAAAAAAAATAACAAAGTCTACTTTGTCCAATAGAAGTATTGCTACTCTGGCTTTCTTTTGACATCCATTTGCATGATAAATGTTCCTCCATCCCCTCACTTTTGATCTAGAGGTGTCTTCAGATTTAAAATGAGTCTCTTATAGGCAGCATATAGATAGACCTTGTTTATTTATCCATTCTGTCACCCTATGTCTTTTTGATTGGAGTAGTCCATTTATATCCAACGTAATTATTGATAGATATGTATTTATTGCCATTTCATTACTTGTTTTGTGGCTGTTTCTGAAATTTTTTTTCTGATCCTTTATTATCTTTCTCTTTCATGGTTTGCTGATTTTCTCTAGTGACATATTTGGATTTCTTTTTCTATTTTTTTGCATATTTATTAGTAGTTTTTGATATACGGTACCATTAGGTTTGTATTTACCTTTTCTGTATATAGCAGTCTACGTTAAGTTGACAGCTGTTTAAATCTGAACCCATTCTTTTCTCCTCTCCTCCCCATGTTTTAGGTGTATGTTATTATATTTCATATCCTTTTTTGTGAGTTCCTTGACTTTTTTTTTTTGCAAAAATATTCATTTTTACTGCTTTTGTGTTTCCTACCTTCGAATTGTCACTTTTGGTATCTCTTTTCCACTCAGAGTCTCCTTTAATATTTCTTGCAGGGCTGGTTTAGTGGTCGTGAACTCCTTTAGTTGTTGTTTGTCTGGAAAACTCTTTATCATCCTTCTATTCTGAATGAGAGTCTTGCTGGATAGAATATTCTTGGCTGCAGATTTTTCCCACTCCGCACTTTGAATATATCATACCACTCCCTTCTGGCTTGCGAAGTTTCTGTTGAAAAATCTCCTGCTAGCCTTATGGGTTTTCCTCTGTATGTTACTGACTTCTTTTGTCTTGCTGCTTTTAAGATTTTTTTATCACTTTATTTTGCAATTTAATCACAATCTGTCTTGGTGTGGGCCTGCTTTTGTTGATTTTGATGGGAGTTCTCTCTGCTTCCTAGATCTGCATGTTTGTTTCCTTCCCTAGATTAGGGAAGTTTTCAGCTATTATTTCTTCAAATACATTTTCTGCCCCCTTTTCTCACTCTTCTTACTCTGGGACTCCTAAAATACAAATGTTATTACATTTGATGGAATCACTGAGATCCCTAAGTCTATTTTCGTTTTGTGTAATTCTTCTTTCTTTTGTTCAGCTTCACTGGTTTGCATTAATTTGTCTTCTAGGTCATTAATTAATTCCTCTGCTTCTTCCAGCCTGCTGTTTATTGTAACAAGTGTGTTTCTAATCTTCTTTATTGCACTCTTTATCTCTAACGCTTTTAACTTTTATCTCTGTGGTAAGGGTCTCAGTGATGTCCTCCATTGTTTTCTAAAGTCCAGTATCTTTATGATCATAGCTTTAAATTCTCCATCAGACATATTACTTATATCTATTTTGCTTAGATCTCTGGCCGTGGCCTTATCTTGTTCTTTCACTTAGGATAAATTCTTCTGTCTTCTCATTTTGTCTAAGTCTCTGCCTTCTTCTATGTTAGAAAAGCCATTTATGTATCCTGCTCCTGAGAGTAATGGCCTTATGAAGAAGAGGGCATGTAGTGCCCAGGGCCTGGCATACGAGGGAATGTCTCCAGTGTGTGCTGCCTGGGCTCTGCTGTTGTGTCTGGTTGCTCTGTCCTTCAGGCCAGTCATCTACAGAGGCTCTCCTTGCCTGCTGTGGGAAGTGTTTGATCCCTGGCCTGAATGTGCTAAGTTTTCACTAGGTTTGCTTTGGTCTGCTTGTGAAATGAGACCCATCACCACCTCCACTGAAACTGAGGCCCTGTAAAACTCCCTGGTCAGGAGCCATGGTATGGGCAAGGGTTTGTGCTAGTCTTTTGGGGGAAGGGCCACCACACTACAGCTGAGGTGTGACTGAGAAGGGCAGTTCCACCAGTGCACCTGGGGGTGGGGCTTGGTGGAACCAAGTTACGCAGCCAGTATCCTCCCATAAGTGGCTCTGTGTTCCCTCTGTGGAGGGAAATGGTGTTGGCCAGCTCCTTTTGTTCTCAGAGAGGTCTCTCCATGAATGCTGTCTCTCTGGGCTGCATTCCAAGAAGAGCAAATAACCTCCCCACTGTGTGCCCCAAGCACTCTTCAAATTGCTGTTTCCACACCATCTGCCCCTGGGTTGTTTGCCTACCTTCTTTCCAAAAGCAGCATAGTACCCTCCAGGCTCTATTCCAGCCAAGCCTGCTGACCTTTAAAACTCCAGTCTTCAAGCCCTGCTGGTTCCAAGAACTCATGAAATTTAGTCCCTCTCATTTTCCAAGCCAATGGCTATGGGGAGATGTTCTCCTTGTGCATTCCCCTGTGTGCTCCTCTCTCTCTCTTGCCCTTCTCTGTGACCATGGCTACCTCTCCTCTGCAGTAGCCAGGATTCGTTTCTTCCCTAAACCACATCTCCACACTTCCTACCCTCTTCAATGTGGCCTCGTCTCTCCTTTTAATTTTGGAGTTTGTCAGCCTTCAGTTTAATTTAGTATTTAGTATGATTTGACAGTTATCTAGCTGTATTCGTGGGACAAGGTAAGCCTAGAACCCTTCTACTCCACCACCATCTTCCTGTCTCTGGCATCACTTCATTTTTTAATATACCAAGACTGAAAGAGTTGAAAGAGATTGAAACTCTTGACCTTTTTAAGTGTGGACAGAATGTCTCAGATTTAATATTCAAGTAGGTGAAAGGACTCAGATAACAGGGAGCATACCTTTTACTTTTATCCTACTAAGTATTTAATAATTATTATCTAACACATTAGCCCATTTTTTAAAAAGATTTTATTTATTTATTTAGAGAGAGCATAAGCAGGAGGAATGGTAGAGGGAGAGAGAGAGAGAATCTCGAGCAGACTCTGTGCTGAGCATGTGGAGCTCAACACCATGCTCAGTCTCACGACCCTGAGATCATGACCTGAGCGGAAACCAAGAGTCTTACATTTAACTGACTGAGACACACAGGTGCCCTAATATATTAGCCCATTTCTAAATAACAGCTTTTATGCAAACTGATTTGCTTGCATTCCTGGTTTCTTCTGCACATTTGACTTGAATGTGAAAAGCCTAAAATGAGTGTTTTGTGGTATCATGTAAAAACTTTCACCTTCATCCTTTCTACTAACCCTTTCCAGAGAGTCTACATTTTTAAAGCTTCTTTCCTTTACTAGAAGCACTTCCCATTCCATCTGAACCCACCATTCCTGTCGCTGGAAAATATCAGTGGTCTAGGAACTAGGGCTTTAGCCAGATCATCTTTTTCTTCTACAAAGTCATTTTCAGCAAATAGCTTAATTATACATTTGATTCCAAAATAATGGAGTTATAAATGAGTCATAATTTTTGATATTATAAGCGTGGGCTAAAGATTAGACTCATTTTGCTTCAAAAATGTAGACTTGATGACAAGGCATAAATTTAACATTAATGAACCATTAACTGTACTATACTGTTTAGGACACAACCAAATTTCCACAATTTGGGTATTTTCATTTAGATATGCACTGTATAGTCACATTCATAAACCAAAGATGAGTGAACACAGAGCTCTGTAGTTCAGTCTATAATCAAAATACTTGAGTCATTTGGGTAAGATCACTTAAAAAGAGTGTTTATCCACTTCTGATTTAAGATGGAGGGTATTAATCTGCAATAAGTAGGAAAATGGAAAAAATTAAGACTACAAGAAACTAAAATTCCCACCAAATGACTGGTCTATAGATCCATAAAGAAACCAGTTTTCATATAAATTAAACACCCATGATGTGCCAAAAAGAACAAAAAAGTTGAAAAGTAAATATAAAAATTTAGAAAATATGTTTTCCTTAGAAAATAAAGTCCCTGGGGGCGCCTGGGTGGCTCAGTCATTAAGTGTCTGCCTTCGGCTCAGGTCATGATCCCATGGTCCTGGGATTGAGCCCTCCATCGGGCTCCCTGCTCCATGGGAAAGCCTGCTTCTCCCTCTCCCACTCCCCCTGCTTGTGTTCCCTCTCTTGTTGTGTCTCTCTGTCAAATAAATAAATAAAATCTTTAACAAACAAAGAAAATAAAGTCTCTGTTGGATTCAACTTTCTTCATGTTTTATAAAAATATACGCATTATAAAAATATATTTTTATAAATGCCAGAAATATTTAATGAAATAATTAATGTGTAAAGTTCCTAAGGTAATTCATTCTACATTGAATTCTAAGAGCTTAGAGAATAGTTAATAAAATGAAGCTGTAATCATGTAAGTTTTTATGATGACATGTGCATCAATCTGTTGTAATTATGAAAGAAAATGATAGCACATCTTTAGGTTCAAAATTTTTCTCCAGGCTGTTTCTTAAAATAATCACAAATACAGCAATTTTGGTCTTAGAAAGGAACCTATAGCTAGTGAATGAGTTTCTTCAGTTCTTTAAGGACTGTCTTAAAATAACATTTCCTTTTCTTAGAAATAACAGCTTTCAATGAAGCTGTGGAAATCTGACATGATACTTGCTGCAGTTGGGGAAAAGAGGAACATTAGAGAAAATATAGAAGGATGCAGATCAATAATAAATAACAGGTCAGTAATAAAATTATGTTCTTAAGGGAAACTTATTTTTTCAAAGCAAAAAAGTAAGGAAAAAAAACATGTTAGTAGCCTTTTGGAATTCATGCAAACTTGGCCACATGTTCAAATCACCCACAAAAACACATTTAAAAAGAGTACTCACCACTGAATTATTTCTGTGATTTGGGCTTCCCAATGTGCAACTGATTCTTTCTTGTCTGCTAGGTCTTTTACCTCTTCTTCTAACTGCTGGTTGCGCATACTTAAGTTCTCAAACAAAGTGGTGAGCTGAAAGGCAGTTTTAAGATACTTAAAGACGTATGTGACTTTTAGGAACAGGAATGCAAGGTGCTCAGATGCAACTTGTTAGAGCTGCTTACTTACCATATTCCACTAAAAAATGCTTGTCTTCCTGATTTCTTCTTATTATATACCCTTCTGGTCATTGAATTTGGAAATATCAAGTATTCTGAATTCTCCTCTGCCTTTGCTTTCCCTTACTCCCTACACTGAATTGCTTCCATTTGTGAACATTCTCCAGTTGCCTGAAGACTACTCAGGTTCTACTGGTAACATCTCTCATTTTTTGTTTTTTTGTTTGTTTTGTTTTTTGGGGGGGTTTGTAAATGTCTCCATGTCATCTTTTTAAAATAAAATCTTACAAAGTATTTCAAGGATATGCAAAAATGGACAGTATAAATTAATTCCCATGAGCCCACAGCCAACTTCAACAATTACCACTTCAATGCCAGTCATTGCATTTGTATCCTGTCTTCTTACCTCTTCCTCCTGAATTATTCCGAAGTGAATACCAGACATCTATAATTTTACCCATATATATTTCTGTGTATATCTCCTGCAAATAAGGCTCTCTCTTTCAAAAGATAACATTATCATACTTAAAAAATTTAATGAGTTTCCTTATATCATCACATAGGTAGTAACTGTTCAAATTTCAAGGTATCTCAAAATATCAAAAAGCTTAACAGTTTATTAAACTGAATTGTGATACCAACAAGTAACCACAGCCTAATGGTTCCTATATCTTTTGTCTCTTATTTATAGGCTCTTAGTCCAGTCAGGCCCCTATACTAGAATACAAGAGGCTGGGTAGTTTAAGTATGAAACATTTATTTCTCACAGTCTGGATGCTAGAGAGTCCAAGATCAAGGTGCCAGCAGATTCAGTGTCTGGTGAGATCTGCTCTTGGTTCACAGGTGGCTGTCTTCTGGCTGCCATCCTCAGAGGGTGGGAGGTGTGAGTGGGCTCTCCAGGGTTGCTTTCATAAGGATAATAATACCACCACGAGGGTGCCACCTCACAACTTAATCACCTCCCAAAGGCAGCACCTCCTCCTACAATCACACTTGGGGATAGGTTTCAACATGTGAATTTTGGAGGGCCACAAATATTCTGTCCATAGCAGTTCCCCTCCAGCACTTTTATTTTTCTTGTAATTTATTTGTTAAAGAAAATAGGTTGTTTGTCCTGCAGAGTTTTCTATAGTCTCAATTTCTGCTTTCATTTCTGAAAGACGTTTTTTGTCATATAGGACATTCCAGGTTGGCAATTATTATCCTCTAGCACTTTGAAAATGGCATTCCTTTTTAGTCCATGTTTTGATTCCTTTTTGGAAATCCATTTTTTTTTCTGTTGGGAAGTTAACTTTCAGTTTAACTTTTGCTCATTTGAATATAATGTGACTTTCTTCTCTGGTTGCTTTTAGGATTCTCCTTGGTTGCTGGTTTTCAGCAGTTTTTCTATGATGTCCCTAAGTGGGATTTAATTTCTATTTATCACCTTTAGGATTTGTGGCATTTCCTGAATTTGTACCTAAATGTTTCTCATAGGTTTTGGAAAATTATGGGCCATTAATTCCTCAAATACTGCTTCTGCCACAGTCTATCGATCCTCTCCACCTGGGAGAGCAAGTATTTGTATGTAAGATCTTTTCAACACGTCCCCTTGGTCTCTGTCCTCTTTTATGTATTTCCATCTTTTCAATTAATCTCTACCCATACTTTAGTCTGAAATTTTTTTATTTATATACTCTTTTCTTCAGCTCTTTCCAGTCTGTTGTTAAAATCTATTCGGTATTTTGGTTATTTTAGTTTTTACTTCTAGAAGTTCTATTTGACTCTCTTGTATACACTCCAGTTGTCTGCTGAAATTCTTCATGTTTTAAATTTTCTATCACACAATTATTATAAAATTTCATTTATGGAAATTCTGATGGGAATCCCTGTGGGCTTGCTTATACAGACTGCATAGTTTTTTTTTTTCTTTCCTTATTTTGTTTTTGCTATTTTATTTTTACTCTTGGTTTTCAGTGATTTAGTTGTATCTCTTGGTATGCATGGTAATTGTTTTAATATATGCCACACATTTTGCATAAAAATTTTAGAGGTAATTTGAGGATCTGTATATAGTATCTTCCTCCAGAAAGTATTTACCTTTACTTCTG